AAAAATGATCCCACAGTATGTAAAAATGTAGATTAAAAAATGCCTAGAAACTGCTTGGCGTTGTGAGGGTTAAACCTAAATGTTGAGTCCTTATGATGGGATGTGTCAGTAAGTCTTAACTGGGAGACATGGCAGCTCTACCAATCACGAGTTCTGATCTTTTATATTTTTATACGTGGTCATAAAAGTAGGAGTTGGCCTGGTTTTTGTGTCATTTTAGTCTTATCCCACAGAAATAGACTGGACATTAGTTCAATTAAGTTCAGGACAGCCTTAAACTGCTTTTCTAGACAGAAAATGACACGCCGTTGTCCTATTCTAATCCAGGGAGTCTGTCATGACCTGGAACAGGGGCAAACAGTTATGTAACAAATGAGATGGGAGTGCAGCATGAGTCATAGTGCAGGGATTGTCCAGTCTGTCTGAAATAATATTTCAGTCATTACAGGAACACATGGATAGATGCAGCACACAGTATGGGCACAAGCAAAGCCTGACAGGATGCTGTCTTCCTCTAACCAACTGCAGCTCCATGTTATGGGGATTTTGAACAGACGTCCTTCTTGTCAGTTATCAGTCAAGAATGTTATTTATAACGCAGGGTTTGATCCATTTGTGCAGCATCTCTGTAGCATCAGGATTTCTCAGTGTAATGGAGGAAATGGGGACAGACCTCCACACACACCATCTATGTTGTCATCACTCCTGTTGGGTATTCGGTACACTAACTCAGTCTGACCGCCATGCTTGTGTTATGCTGATCAGTCATGCACGATGAAACCCACTGTAGACCCGCACATAGAAAGACTATTTATTGCCTTTGTTGTGGTGTCTGAAAAGTAGGCCCACTTGAAGCCCTGCAGTCATTTGGAAACCTGGGCCTGTCATTTCCTATTTTAGGACCCTAACTGGAGCAGTTCTCAGTTGGGTAGAGATGAAGTCATCTGACCCTTTCTTTAGCCTTCAGACCATCTTGACACAGCACAGCGTTTCAGTTAATGCACACAGCAGAGCGATGTAGCCTAGTTTTAGGGCATGTCTGCCACTGAGCTATCCTGTAAGCTTGGGGGTGGTGCCTTGCTGGCTTTATTTTCTTGCCTGTGTTGTCATTTGAAATGTAAACATTGAGCAAATATAATTCAATTGCATTTGTCATAATGATGTCTTCCTGGGAAAACAGGTGTCATTCAAACTGTCTTTTAAGTTATAGACGATCGTGCACTTTCTGTTTCTCCATGTATAATATCAATCTTTGTGTCACCCTCTGAAGGAGCAACGTCTGCGTTACCTGAAACAGCAGGAGCGGCGTCAGCAGCAAACCGTGTCAGAGAGCGAGAAGCTGCAGAGGCTGAAGGAACGCGTGGAGAGCCAGGAGGCCAAGCTCAAGAAGATTCGGGCGATGAGAGGACAGGTGGACTACAGCAAGGTCATCAATGGCAACCTGTGTATGTATACTGACAGCGTGTACATCGTTTCACCACTACTTAGGGGTTTTCCTAGCTCAGGCTTCTGATGGGTGGTTATGACAGTAAGCCATGTACAGCACAGGCAGTGAGTCAGTGTTACCTTATTGGTCAGAAATCTCTGCATCTTTCTGTAATTTGTCACCTGTCTGTAAACCTCTAAAAATCTTGACATTTGGTTAATTTGCATTCCAAAAATTCTTTGTACTAAGGATTTATCTGTTATTTAAATAGTTTTTTATACAGGAGTAACATCTGGGAATTTAAAAAATAGTACAGAACAATTTTTTCTACCATATCAACACTTGGACACAGCTGTTGATTGGTGCTATATTAGCAGCTAGCTAACTGTTGGATTGTAAATGAGATGTCGCGGTATCTTTCTTCTTCGCACACAGCGGCAGAGATTGAGCAAGTTAGTGGCTTGTTCCAAGAGAAGCAGGCCGAGTTGCAGGCTGCGGTGCTGAGGGTGGAGCAGCTTAGCCTTCAGCTGGAGGACCTGCGGAGAGGAAAGCTCAATGGCATCCAGACTACTCTGGGCGGCCAGGTAACCGGCGCCGCAGCCCTCGAGCTCCGTAAGCTGTACCAGGAGCTTCAGGTAATGCATAGTCGAAATAAGTGCAACATCTCGTGCATGCTCTCACAGGTGTAACTCTGTTTGCTTGACATCTAACTGCAGTGACAACAGTATATATTGTTGTGGAGAATGCGTGCATTTGTTTATATTTTCATATATCATCCTCAGATTCGAAACAAGCTGAACCAGGAGCAAAACAGCAAGCTGCAGCAACAGAAGGAGCTTCTGAACAAGCGCAACATGGAAGTGACGCTCATGGACAAGCGCATCAGCGAGCTGCGGGAACGCCTCTACAAGAAAAAAGCTGAGGCACGTCAAAAAGAGAACCTTCCTGTAAGACTAGGACCGCTTAACACATCACCTCCTCAGATTGTTTTTGGTTGAAATATTCCTGTCTCTTCCACAAGTCGCTTTAGATTCTACATTGTTCAATATAAAATGTAAAATTATATGTCCAGCTTTTCAACTTTGGGGGTTTACAGAACCCAAAAGGGGACATAGTTCTACTGTATGTCTCTGGACATGTTCTTTTTTTCTTAACATTTGAAAATGTTTCTAATTTCTTCTCTTATAGCTGAATAGAGCCAACGGGCCGCCCTCTCCGCAGCCGGCTCCTGGTACTCTGGGTCGTGTTGCTGCTGTTGGGCCGTACATCCAAGTTCCTGTACCGGGTCGACAGGACGGCGGCTACAACATACCTCCTGATCCACTGAAGCCTCAGACGCTTGGTGTTAATAACCAAGCCAACCATGGCCGCACCAAATCAGGTAGGTTAAGACGCATAGAATTTTTACTTTTTCCAGAATTCAAGAAACTGTAAAACTTGACAAGCTAGATCACATGTAGACTCAGAGGCAGAAGTCTTAGGGGCGGGTTATGGTCTCTCAGAACTCGATCTTAAAATGTCAACCAGGTCGGGAATCAGATGTGCTAAGTGTCATCATATTGTTGTACAAATGAAAAACGGCGCAAAACAGTCGAGTAAAAAGTGAAAAAAGAGCAAGAAAGAGAAACACGGTCCCCGCCTTCTTTCACAAGGAAAACCAATCAAACCAGGAAGTGTGAATGTCGGATCATTGGTCTCAGAAAGGGCAATGCAGAAATCCTCTATTCGATGTTGGAACCGTGTGGGGGTGGGGGCGCTATCTGACCGTCCAGCATGCAGTTCGGACAGACCATAAATTCAGCTTTCTCCCGCTCTACATTCAACACGTCCTGCATGAACAGTTTGTGCCCAGAATCCTCCTCTTTACCTGAACTGCTTCCTTCCTACCTGACTTCTCAGTTCCTACCTGGACTTGATTTCTGTGATTCCTTTTTTTCCCCTTCCTCTCTAACCTCACTCTCTTTCCTGTGTTGTGTGAACTGTATTTCCCTCCCTTGTCTGTCCTCCTTTCATGTGTCTATGCTGTCCTGTCTTTGTAACGTCTCTGTTTCGCTGGGTGTGGGGTTGGGGGCGACTCTCCCCGGGGCAGACGGTGTGCGAAAGCCTCCAGGCCCTTGGAAAGTGTCTGATTTAGACATCGTTGTGGACCCGGTGCCCCCGTCCCTTCCAGAATCGCACCCGGGCCCTGGAGCCTCCACTGGCTCTGACGGCACGTCTCGTGAGTGCACAGTGCTGCATAAGCAAAGGGGAGGCACCTTCCGAACCTTGTCTCTCGGTTGTAGCACAGGATCCTCAGCATGCACTGGAATCTTTGCTCCATATTGCGGCCATATAATAATAATATTTATAATCTGAATTCAATGCGGTTGCTTACTTCTTGAATTGGCCCAGTCTTTAAGAGCCCCCTACACTCTAATTATCTGCTGCTGCTGCTTTCATTTTCCACCAAGTTTGGATTTTCTCCAAACAGTCTCAGACAAAATGAAGCTTCCTTACAGAGCTCTGGAATCTGACTGGTTCCAACAATCACTGACTGATAGCATCGTTACACTCTCCTGCCTGTGCAGTGGTGTGCCAGTTTTTTTCTGAACTGGAGAGAGTACATGTTGTTGTTCCATTTGGAGTTTCCTATGTGGATTGGCTAATGACTTGGAAAAGCAGCAGGGTGCCATGTTGAAACGCTTTGCTGCCATCTACAGAAAACGTACAGTCTTGATTGTATTTGACATCATGCTTCGCTGACAGAGCGCTGCTGATCCTGTGTGTGTTTGTACACTTCTGAGAAGGTTCGATGACTTGAGTGCCTCAAAGTAGACCATGATACTGTGGCTTTCTTTGAATTTCATAACATTCCCAGGCTGACTACAGTAACTCTAACCTTCACATCACATTCACACAGCCACCGAGCTGTGAGAGTCACTTATAGTCGTCACGCATTTGATATGCACAAGGAATTTTACTTGTGCATGTTGAAGTGTCATTGGATTCACAACTGTCACTCCTAATAATTTCACCACCCATATCCGAATGTTTCCTGTTAGAATGTGGCTAGTGTTGGTAGAACGCCTTATTATTATTGCATAGATCTTTTCCACTGCAGACATCTTGCCGTGCAATAGCACGGGAAAAGCACAGGTGTAACTGATAACATTATAAAAGTGTATTCCATTTAGGTGTGCCAGTTTCAGAGTCATGAAATTGTGCATGCTGGCACGCTGTTGTTCATAAAATTACTTCCACTTGTCCTTTTTCTGCTATAACACGTCAAAATGTCAAACAAAACAAGGCCGTTAATATCTGATAATCTCTATTGGAGTCTTTAACCCATCAGTCACCAGCATTACAGCTGTACGACACACCTTTTGTCATCATGCTTAGATTTCTGTCACTTATTTCTGTTGTTTCGTAGTCTTTCTTTTTCCATCTTTTCTTTTCATCTCATCCTTTCTGTCTTCACATTTTAATCTTGTTTTTAATAGAGCCAGTCGGTTTAGTTTGATATCGGAGGCATTATTTGAATCTTGTCATTTCTCTCAGTGGGGTAGCCAGTAGTCACTAAATTAAAACATGACTAAAGACAAGCACCGTCGCAAAAATACTAATGCATATACATCCATCGCCATCATTGCTGTGAAGTGAAGGCTCAGGATTTTTGTCCTATTGATCAATATCCTCTCATTTAGTCATGCCTGTACTTTCTGACGTGTTCAGTGTACAGAAACTTATAATATTTATAGAAATTGCCAACACAGATCTATTTCTTTTCCCTAGATCGATGGGTTTTGGTTGTTTTTTCAATTTCGTTTGTTTTTTATGAATGTTAAAATCAAATGGTTCACGGAGTCAGGTTTTTTTTTTTTTTTTTGCAATTCACTTCCATAGTGTTGTTTTTAGACACTTAATTTGATGGTTGTTTTTTTGCTCATAAATGTGGTTCACAACAAGCAAAACACAACAAGCAGCGTGTTTGAACGTCTGTTCATGGTTTCTGGTTAATAGGATAGGCTTCTCAAAATCCTGAACCCTCCATTTAATACCAATCCAAGGTCAAAATGGTGCAAATGTTCTGTCTGTAAGATGTTCCATACTCGCACTCATATTCCTAAAATGCCATCACTAATCTCTCACACACTGTGGTGACTCACACATTACAAACAATAAGTAATAAGCTACCATTTAGACCTAGCTCTGGTGGACATGCTGTCACTACCCTGAGTTGTAAAAATAGTCTAATGCTTCTCACAGTCATTGAATATGATCGTTTTGTTCTTTTGCGCCGCCCTCACTGTGTCCTGTCTGTGCCCTAGCTAATGATACTGGTTGGCCTACTATAGGCAAGACCAGCACAACTCTAAAGCCTCCTGAGAGAAGAGACTCAGGGACTGATACCCAGGGCAAGAGCCCTCCCTCAGGCTCCCCCGTTGCTTCAAGCGCAGAAAAGGTTTGTCATGTTCTACTTTTTTGTCCCCTCAAATAAAACATCTTAATTTTCAATTTCAAGGTTTAGGCTGATGTATTTTGTTTGCGTACGAAGAATTATTTAGGTGCAACCAATCAGTGATCGTGTGTGATTTCATGCTCCTTCGCAGGTGCTAGACTCCAAAATGGTTGTGTCCTCCCCCGCCATATCGAAGCCACAGCCGCCACCGTATGGATCCCACCTTACCTCCGCAAACTCAGCCAGCTCCTTGGAGCGCCGCAAAGATGCACCCCCTCCTCCTCGCCCGCTGCCTCACCCTCCGGCTCCGGCTTGGCCCCGCGTCCCCCCCTCCACGGGCTCGTCCTCCCAGCAGATCCAGCAGCGTATCTCAGTGCCACCGAGCCCCACCTTCCAGCCTAACGCGCCGCTCTTCCCTCCGGGGCTGAGTGAGCGACTGGATCCTCCGCCGGCTGTGGCAGTGCGCCCCTTCATCCCAGACAGAGGATCGCGGCCTCAGTCGCCCCGGAAGGGCCCGCCTACCATGAACTCCAGCTCCATCTATCACATGTACCTCCAGCAGGCGGCGCCAAAGAGCCAGCCACTCAAGCCTGCTCTCAAAGCAGGTAAGAGCTGGGCTTTAAGAGACCATACATTAGACTATTGCAGTGTGAAATATGCTATTCTTGTTGTTTTCAGATTTGTATGATTATAAATTTAACACTTTTTGGTTTTGAAAGATGAGAAAATGCAGGGACTTTCAGAATATCACTTTAAACTCTGGTATATTGTGATATTCAGACTGTACTTGTTAGACCACCAACTCTCTGACTGATTATTATACATGCTGATCTGAAAATTAATCTACAAGTGACTTAATAATGATAATAATAAGGATATCAGTACCCCCAACTTTGATGCTGCCATGTCTGTTTGCCTCTAGTATACGGGAAGCCTGTTCTCCCCTCCAGCTCGACTCCCCCCTCGCCCCTGCCTTTCGTCCAGGCAGGAGGGGCCTTCCCGTTGCTCCAATCCAGTGGCGAGGACGGTTTTGACGGAGAGTACGATGATCACGACAGCTTCCATCACCTGGAGCCTTCGGCGCCTCCTCCCAGCGTGGAGAACATCCCGCGACCACTCAGCCCCACTAAGCTAACGCCCATGGTACATTCTCCACTGCGCTACCAAAGCGACGCCGACCTTGAAGTGCTGCGTAAAAAGCTGGCCAATGCTCCGAGGCCGCTCAAGAAGCGCAGCTCAATCACAGAACCAGAGGGCCCGAGCGGACCCAACATCCAGAAACTGCTCTACCAGAGATTTAACACTCTAGCTGGAGGCATAGAGGGAAATGGAGTCAGTGGATCAGGAGGTGGCAACGGCGCAGGTAATGGAACACCGTTTTATCAACCGGCTCATCCTCCCGGTTATCTGGAGGGCGACTCTCTGGCCGATACAGACAATGGAAACCTCCTGTCTGAGACGCCGCTAGCGCCACCGCCAGGGGAGGACGAGCAGGGATCTGAGGCACCGCCTAGCACCACTGACGCTAATGACAACGAGCCGTTGCCGTCGCCACCAGAAGGAATGATGGATCCCGGTGAGGAAGAGGGACCAGAGGACGACAACAACAACAACGTGGGAGGCTCTGAGGCGTCACTGCCCAGCCCCGTGCTGGAGGTCACCACTCCAGAGGAGAGCGGCACCGCGGCCTCACAACCACTGGTGAGGAAGACATATGCATATATTAAACAAATGTAGTAGAGAGATGTAATATAACTCCTGTTCATGCCTCTTCTATCTGTTCATACAGGAGAAGCGCACAAACTTAAAGAAGCCCAACTCTGAGCGCACCGGTCACGGCTTTAGAGTGAAGTTCAACCCTTTGGCCCTCCTGCTGGATGCCTCGTTGGAAGGAGAGTTTGACCTGGTCCAGAGGATCATCTATGAGGTTTGTTGTTACTGTGTAGACTTTAATTTGTTCATATTTGCATGTAGGCTAAACACTCATCCTTTCATGCGGGTTCCTCTCTTTTTCCAGGTGGAGAATCCCAGCACTCCTAATGATGAGGGCATCACACCCTTACACAATGCAGTGTGTGCAGGACATCACCATATAGTCAAGTTCCTGCTGGATTTTGGTGTGAACGTCAATGCTGCAGACAGCGACGGATGGTGAGTCTGGACGATGACAAAACCTGTTCAGCTTGATTTACATGATCTGCTGTTGTGTCTGTTAACCGTTGGTGTTGCTGTTTTCTTGAACAGGACTCCTCTTCACTGTGCCGCGTCCTGCAACAGCGTTCATCTCTGCAAGTTGTTGGTGGAGTCGGGGGCCGCCATCTTTGCCAGCACCATTAGCGATGTGGAGACCGCTGCAGATAAATGCGAGGAAATGGAAGAGGGCTACATCCAGTGTTCCCAGTTTCTATATGGTGAGAAAAAACACGCTAATCACATGGCCTAAAGGTCAGACAGGCCATTTTAAATTCTTAAATGTATAATTTATGGAAAATATTCTTGTGAATTTCTTTATACTGTTGCATGATAACAATGTGGCTGTATGTATGAATACAGCCATGAAAACCTTTTGTAATAATAAAGTAGACCTATTTTGTTAATTACAGCTATGGCTCAGCAACATGTCAACTCAATGATGCACACGACCGCACTCTAAAAAAGGAATGTGATGATGAGGCATTTTGTTTACATTACACTAAGTATATATTTGTGCCACATTAACTGTTTGCACCTTTCAGGTTAGTGTGAGAGTTTTAGGGCTGTAGACAATTAACCAATCAAAATCTGTGTTAGCTGAAGTCGGGCATCTTTAACCGTTTGATTGATCACAGAGAAAAATAAATCTTCACATTACCTACAGATGAACTAAATCAGCCACAGAGCGTTGAGTGCACTCGACCTGCTTGCCTTATTGGCCTGAATGAATTATAAATAAACACGAAAACCTAGTATTTGCAGCAAAGTAAATTGTTTCAACCTGTTAAATGAAAGCAACAGACAGTCAACTAGCATGCACCTGCCCGTGTGACATAGTCTCTGAAAGTACAGTTACGTCAACCAGTGATTACTGCTGGTTCGAGGCCAGGCTGGTTGTTGAGCTGTTGTTTGTTTACACTCTTTTGGCCGTCTGTTGTAACCAAATGCAGCCATAGTGACGACTTCTTTGACATGACTGGAGCTGATTCTGAGTAAATGTTCAATAAATCCATCCAGCCATCATCTATACACCTTAATGCTCACTAGGGTCGCTGGAGTCTATCCCAGCTGACTCAGGGGAAACCTGGACAGGTCACCAGTCTATCACAGGGCTACACTTAGAGACAGACAACCAAGCACACTCACATTCACACCTACGGACAGTTTATGTTATGTTATGTTGTGTTTATGCCTGTCTGCCAATCAATACACTAGTCATCTTGGGGATTACCAACATCAAATATTCAGATTTAAACCATTAGATTTGGTGTTCTTATCTTTCTGAAATGGGTTGCAATGTGCACCGCCGCTGTCGTGTTTTTAGCATCTTGTATCATCAACATGTCTCTAATATCTATTTTCATTCATTTGTCAACATTTGCAGTCACACACACAACTTTTCTCTCTTATTTTCAGCCTCCAATCTCTCCATTCTTACTCCTAACGGTCTGAATCATTTCAGGCACAAAAATGTTCCCACCAGCTGTCATTCCAGTCACTTAGCTATGAACAAAAACCAAACACAGAAGGAATTAGCCAGTATGCTATGCTTGTGTCATTTAGAAACATTCTTGGTGTGACCATTTGGATGCAAGTTTTTCCTTGAACGTACTGATTGGAATTTTTTTTTTGACTCTCTCGTGCAGGCGTTCAGGAGAAGCTGGGCGTCATGAACAAGGGGACGGTGTACGCTCTGTGGGATTATGAAGGCCAGAATCAGGACGAGCTGTCGTTCGGCGAGGGGGACGCCATCACCATCCTGCGACGACAGGACGACAGCGAAACCGAGTGGTGGTGGGCGCGGCTCGAGGACACAGAGGGCTACGTGCCCCGCAACCTGCTGGGGGTAACGACGGAAGCTTTGTCACGTTTCTGCAGTTTTAAGATGTTAACCGCTAAGTTGTCCTAGCTTAATTTAACTAGATGCTTTAACTTATTGGATCCTGAAGAAATGCAATAAACTTGATTTGATTTAATTAGATAGAATATCAGCGCATGGCTTTATTTCCACATGTTCTGATTTATTTATTCTTATTCATGACAGTAGAGCTGGAATAAAAAAGACCAAACAGAGCTGGAGAACTGAAATGTTACGCCTGTTTTAAGTCTGAGAGAAAATCTGGAATTGTTGGACAAAGAACACAAGCATTAGCTTCCACCTTAAATGATGGTCTGCTAACAACATTCGATGTCCTGACTTTACCTGTTGGCTGATTAGGTTGTTGAGTTTCTGCTGAAATCTCATTGATTGTTTTAAGATCCTAATAAATGATCAGTTATTAAGAAGAATGACTTTGTTGGGAGAAGATGGGTGATATTATTAAGTCAGTGAATCCAGTTTATTGATTCCCTCGAGGCTGTGCAGGTTTTAGATAAACAAAAAGCATAATGCAGAGCTGTAACGAGGCTGAACAAGAAATAGAAGGTGATTTCAATGACACACTGCATCATGACGATCTCCCCTTTGTTCTGTTTGCAGCTCTATCCTAGAATCAAACCTCGTCAGCGCTCCCTGGCGTAGTGTCTCGCTCCAGCTGGACTAGTGACACGACCGAGAGCCGAGAACAACAACAACGGGAGCCTGGTGCTCCGTCTTCTCCCCGTGGCCATAACCTCCTCCTCCCTCCGGCCTCGTGCTTCTCACAACAAAAAAAAAAATCCTTTTTCTCCGAAGCCGTGGGCACGAAACTCTGACACGCACACACACTTACATCTGCACACACGGAGACAAACACACAGTGAAACACAAGCACTCCAAAGTCTCTTAAATGACTCCATCTTGACCCCACCTTCCCTTCCCTCCCCCTCCTCCCCCCAGCCTCACCTTTCAACCCGTCATTGACTTGATTTTTACCCCCCAACTCAGTGCCAGCTCTGTAACAGACATGGATCTGAAGAATCAGACACTAACCCTCGTCTCAGTATTCCTCGCAGTGTTCGCACTTCTTCTTCAGCCATCTCCATCTCCCTAATGAGGTCTACGGTGGCGCCGGTTTACACGACACTAAATGGTAACTGGAAGTTCATCTGTAAGGGTGACAAGTTGCAGATTTTTTTGTTTGTTTGAGTATTTGGACTTTTTTTGTTTTTTTTTTTAAGGCCGATTTGATCCCCATGAGAAAAAGAAAATGCAGAAATCTGTGCTTTGACTGTAGCCTAACCACCAAAGATGACTCCAGATTTAACTATTTTAATTTTTGTTCCTCCCTAAGATCTTACAGTCATTGAGGAGAGAGATAATCAGTTGATTCGCTGCTATTGGTACCGATAAATAGCTCCCAGGAGTTCAAGTCTGGAGCAGAAAACATGAATTTTTGGAGGGGAAAATAGCCAACGTTGCAGATCCTCAGTATTACCGACACACAGGCCAGTCTAAAGAATCCCAGTGTATTAGAGAAAAGGTAAAGTGACAGCTCGCAGCATTGTCATGAATCGCATTTCATCAACATCATTGCAAAGAAGTGATTTTATTTTTTTTCCATTTAGTGTCATCTGTTCAGAATCTGGATGCAGGATTATTGTGGATGTGTGGCAAGAACATTAATAAATTATAAGTGAGCCTTTGGACAATAATCGATTTTTTTTCCTGTAATATGTGATTTGAAGGCGTCAGACTTTGTCAAAACACTGTTTAAATGAGCAACACGGATACTTGTGCCAACTTTATGTTCCTGGTATTCTCATTTATACCTGAAGCTATCTGGTCACATGCTGCAACTTCCAAAACAACTGCTGTCGTGGAAATGGGTAACAAAATATAAGAAGTTTCCATATTGTGTCTGTAGAGATACACGGTTACAAAGATCCCTTCCTTATGGTTTACAAGCAGTCGGCAACGAGGAGAAACCATGTTGAGACGAGCCAGAATCAGCTGAGTCCTGATGCCGTTTTCAGGTTTGGTTTTGCTTTTTTGATTCCAGAGCAGGTTTTTGGTTATTCTCCTCATTGGGATCTCATTTCCAGGATCACTGACTTTCTAGATTTCACTCGTCTTCAAGATGGCCACATGGCAGGAAGAAAAAGTAGCAGCATCTCTAAATGAAATCACCATCTTGCAAATATTTACCACAATCTAGACACTGAGCTTCAGAAAAGAGACAAACCAGCTCAAAGTTTTTGGTTTTAATAACCTCCATATGCACAAAACAATCGTTCTTTTCTCCTCCTAGCTGCTAAATAAGTTTCTACAAACTCCACTGAAACACTGAATCTCAGGACCAACACGGTGCTGCTGACACGTCTCATCTTAGTTCTGGTTTACGATTCACAGCTGATGCAAGCGTCTCCGTCAACCTCTCTGTTTACCGCCAAAGCCTGGTTGTTGTCTCCTCCGTGATATTCACCTTTTTTGAAAAGATCTTCAATCTCTTGCTTTCCGCTGAGACTGACTCTGGACCAGCATCACACATGGATCATTCTAAGAACTTGCAAATGCTTGTGCTCTATCCTTTGGTTGTGCCATAATTACTTTCAGATTTGGGTGTACCATTCTAATAACTATCCTTCTTGTTTTGAGCTTTACGTAGCTGAAAAGCCAATAAACTACTTGCTTTACTTACCATTTCATGGTATTTTTGACTCGCCAGACATAAAGCTCCTTCAGCTTTATGAGTTAATCGCTCATGCAGCTTTTCTAGTCTCTGTCACGTCCTCAAGGACGCTTTTATTTGTTGTTTTTAAGCTTTAGCTTCAGTTTATTACATATTTTTAAATGCTTTCTTGCTTTGCTAAAGATTCTTTCTGTTATTTTGATGTTCATTTCAGTTGCTTTTCTTCTAACTGCAGTATTGATAATGATACTCGATCATTGCCAGGTTCAGTTTGAGTCCGACTACCGACATTAGACGGGATTGAAACTAGAAAAGAATAATTTTTACATGTCACAGCAGCATCCAAATAATATAGAAAAGAAGGTACAAGGAAATAATAATTAAGTAATAAAGTAAGTATGTACACAAGATGACCAAAAATATACTATTGATTGAAAAAAAATACAATATTCACACTTAAAAAGAAAAAGACTGCAAAAACATAAACAGGTGTTAGTTTTGTGCTTTTGGTCACCATCAGCCAGTGATGCTGATGTTGTGAAGTCATACTGCAGTTGGGAGGAATGACCTCCTTCTTGCAGGGAGGATGCCTCAGTCTGCTGCTTAAAGCCTCCACAGTGGGTGAGAGGGGTCGTCCATGATGGATGCTGAGCTTGGCCAACATCCTCCTCTCACCCTCCTCCTCTATGGGATCCAGGGGGCAGTCCAGGACAGAACCGGCCCTCCTCACCAGTCTGTTCAGTCTCTTTCTGTCCCAGTCTGTGCTCCCTCCTCCCCAGCAGACGCCACCACAGTGTCGTAAAACGTCCTGAGCAGAGTCCTGCACACTCCAAAAGACCTCCATCTCCTCAGCAGGTGGACATGACTCTGGCCCTTCTTGTACAGAACCTCTGTGTTGTTGGACCAGTCCAGTTTACTGTTGAGGTGAACACCCAGGTACCTATAGGTCTCCACCATCTCCATGTCCAGACCCTTTGTAAAAGTTGATTTAAAAAAAAAAAAAAAGCAAAGTCACTTGGATCAGTTTCACAATTGGGAACCTAATGTGGATGTTGTGGGAATATTGATGAATAGAAACCAAAATCTGTCTTTTCAGAGTTACATCTCCGTATTTCGTTCAAGCCTGATCACCCTTCATCCTAATTTGGGGAATAAACTGGACACAATCTCCTTCATTAGTCGATTATGAATTGAAATGAACCTGCCGTCTGTTCATGGAAACACTTGGTCTGCACATTACAGACCCACTGTTGTGTTAGTTCCACATGTTAGCCCCACAGGTTGTCACTGAACCAACAGAAGCTCTGTTGTGACGGCTGTCAGTCAAATCTCTGCTGCCTTCAGCTGCTCCATCGCTGGGAGGAAGGAAGCCGCCACCAGCTACACACTGACGCTGGACAGAATGAGACAAATCAGTGCAGAACGAGTTCCTTCCTTTCTAATGAGGCCGGGAGCCTTAATAAATGATAAATTAAACGTGTATCAGCGAAATGACGAGCAGCGTTTATGCAGTGTGTCATTGGGTGCAGTTCATCGTTGTGCCACCAGGGGGCAACAAACCCTTATCCCTGACAGTGGACTACAGCAACAGGTTCCCTCTAATTGTGGTTTCTATGCATGTACTTAGTTGTGCTTCAATCATTTCCAGATATTGCTACAGGGACAATGATCAAATTCAGCAGAGTGCGTCTCTTTTTTTTATTTTATTTTTTAAAAGCATCCCTGATATCACATAGTTAACAGTTTTTATAAGTCTCTGGTAGAGTGTAGTGTCCCTGAAAACTGTCCACAGTTAAGTATGTGTACTATCACCAGTAAAGCAGACATTATCTCTAGAAAGATGGGCTACAGGTGTAGTTGTACAGGTTAACTACATCCATGTCTGAGTCCCTGTGCAGACGATGAAACTTTCCCAAACCAGGTCGCTTCCAAGCAGAGTGATGGTCTTTATTTGAGGGAACTGTCTCTGAGTGTAAACAGTGGGTTTAACGTCACCAAACAACAAAGATTTATTTTGTAGTTTGGCTAGTTCATGGAATTAATGTTTATTTGACACATCTGTCAGCTACGCAGTTATTACTAAAAAAAGGCACTGTGATGGATTTTGTTTAAAGAAACACTGACTCGGTGAGTTCACAGTGACAATAGGATGAAGTAAACAGATTTATACTGAAGGTCTAGTTTGAGGTTTAAGTTTAGAATCTGTTTATTTTAGTGTCAGATCAGAATCCAGAGCAATCTTTGTTATAATAACTAACAAATCAGTCAGCCCCTCACTACCTAAGCACCATCATCTAAACTATATTATTGAATATTTTATTTGATCAGAGCCTCTCTCGCTGTTCTGAGGCTGGCCAATGCTCTGGTCTTTCAGATTCTTGGTTTTCCCTCCGACCACCTTTGGCCCAGTCACCCCCACTGAGAAGACACCAGCAGAGGCCCGAGTCACCAACACCCTGCTTTGTGCCATCCAATCAGACGGTAACATGCGACCCTTGCCACTGCAAATACACAACCGGATATCCACCCTTGCCGTCCCCGCCGCTAAACCCAAGTGCATCATCCAATTTGCCGCCTGATGCCCTGCTGGGTTTAAGGTCAGCATTAACAAGCAGTCGGGTGGAGACCTGGCCAATGTCCACCGTGCATGCAGAGCAACACCACTGCTGCTGCTGAGGCCGGGGCTCGGCTTGATCGCAAGTTTAATCTGATGTTTGCTAAGTGTGCCTTAGTTCACTGGTATGTAGGTGAGAGGATGGAGGAGGCGGAGGAAGAGGAGGAGGAGGAGTTTTGTGAGTCTGAAGAGGCCACAGCAGCTCTGGAGGAGGATTACGAGGATCGTTTGGAATTGATTCTGTTCAGAATTAAGAGCATTAAGAGGAATAAATACGTTTAAGTGTTTGTGCTGTGAAAGACTGCAGTTTGGATTCACGCTGAATAAAATGTCAGTTTGAGCTAAAGTTCATGTGACAGGAAGTGTGAAAATACTGTTGACTGCAGATGAAGGGGACACAAAGGGGAACAGTACAAGTGAAAATGGAGAAAATAAAGTGCTTTCAAATGCATCCAAAAAAGATTTTTGTCTATAAAATGAGTCATGAATTGAAGTTACCAAGGATTATTGACCAACCATTTGTGTTTCTGTATGCTTCACATGCATGTTTTGGACACCCGGTCAGCGGTTTATGGTTTGAAAACTGCAGTCAGTACATTTTCCCTGAGCAGCAGATTACAGTGTGTGGTAAATATAAATATAAACCACCAGTTATATCGTCGTGCACAATCCTATCAGAGGTTTAATGTTTCTACCTGTTTAGTCACCACATGGAAACGTTCTCTTTCATTTTTGGATTAAACTCTGGATACATTTATTGGCCAGTAGGACAAAATGCTCTATAACTTTTTTTATTATCAGGACAAATGGTTTACACGGGATGTTTTGATTTTCTTTACATGAATAGAGACATTTGAGCAAAGAGACAAAGGACCCTGTTTAACCCTCATGGGACATATTTTTTCCTTTTCATTTTGGATTGTTTTCTGTAATAATTTTGGGAGTGTTTGTGGCATACATTTTGGTGGAATTTATAACATTTCAACATCAGCTGCTGTGACATTTCTAAAATACATAATGTACACACACAAAAATAGTTGCGCTTAAGGGCAAACATTTCCCCACTGAAATCTGTTCAAAGTCCTATTTATGATCCCAGTGCCGGTACAGCATGAACAGTCATTAGCCTTTCATTCTGGAGTCTTGACTTCAAAATTGTCTTGCATTTTCCATATTTGGCCTTTGGAGCAAATGCATGCATTTAGGTTCTAAAGTATAGAGCAGTTCAGGCCAATGGAATAAATCTATGCAGCTAAAATGGTGTTGGGATGTTGGTAAGGATGTCACAGTGTGGTGAGTGTTTATCTATAGAGATAGAAATGTGCTGTATGCAATGTACTGCAGATCACAAATTCCACCCTCCCGTCTCTCTCAGCCACACGTGCACCCTCAGGCCTTCAGACTCAAAG